GCGTCAATGAGGTTTTGGACAATGTCGCGATTATGCACATCCATCGTGATGAGTGCACCAAGAATGCCCCGTTGGATGCGGGTAAGATCTCCACGGACGAGGGCGGCCACGCCGGCAAGATTCTATAAGGTTAGGAAGGTTTTAGATACCGTAGTGCTATACATGCCAACCGAATGATTGCGAATAGATTTCGTAGCGTGTCCTACTTACCCGGACACATTTTTCTTTGAAAGCCACCAGACTCTTGACTGGATCTGCTGTCTTCAAACATTCGCCGACATCTCTACACCACAAGACCTGATTTCCCGTTAAAACTACCTGCCCAACATGTTCTCTAACCCAATCCCCGCGCTTGGCATCCTCAAACTCTGCCAATGCCTGTTTAATCAACCGCCGGAGAACGGCTACCATGCCTTCCTCCACGCTTCCCAGCCACGCCTCCACGTTACCACGGGCTTTGATTGTTTTCAGGAATGGCACGCGCTCACCCTCGGGACTGACCATCGCGGCAATGTCAATGCTCTTTGGATCCGATGAAGAGAATTCAAGAGATTTAATGGCATCGAAACACTTGCTGAGATGTGGTTGAACTGCCTGCGGGTTTCGTGTTTGGGACAAGATTTCGAGGAGCTCTTCGTTTGATAGGAAGTAAAATCGGGGGAACAGTAGCCGCTTGCTCTCCAGATAGTCTTCGAGACATTTCTGAATCTGATCTAAAAGGACATTATTTTGCCCCATTGTTTCCAATAGACCGGGTGTCGTGCCAGATTTCATGGCATTGGGATTTCGATAGACTTTTCTCATCGTGTCCTTCCAGCTACGGTCGACTTGAGCAAACATTCGGGCTTCATCGGGAAGTTGGCGTTGGATGTCTGGAGCAGAAAAGATGCTCTCAAGATAAAGCCAGTTCCGTTGACACGTCAACCATGCATCCAGTGTTTCAGCAAACAAAGTCAGCTGCTTGTCCCATCTATCCACTTCTGTGCGAATGGGCCCAATAAACCGTGATCCTTTGATTGTCGCAATGGTGACCTGACTGTCCTCTAGCAATGTTTGTATATCGTCGACGGTGCCCAGAATAAATACATCCTTGGCGTCTCGATAGGAAGCAACAATAAATTCGGCCTCGTTCCAGTTTTTGATAACTTTACCCAACATCTCTTCCAAGGCTGCTTCAGAACCAGCTTGACTCGAGACGTTACTGATTTCGTCTTTGAAATCAAAAACGCGGAGGTCCATCAGCCTCTCCAAGGTGAACGTTTCGTCTTTCACCAGTGCTTTCCGAGGGCGTCTGTGAATCTTTCCCAATGTCGCGGCTTGAGGGCGGGATTGCGGAGGTCAACAATCGTCGGATACATGCTTCGGTACTCATCAACCATGGCTTTGAGTCGAGGAACGACTTCGTTTGGCGGGAGACCCTTGTCCAGGTTATAGACGGTTTTGATGTAAGCTTGGATTTGGTTGTTGATGTCCTCCGTGTTCAGCATATCAAATGACCCTTCTTTCCAGGACCTAGTGCACGAAGAAGGGACATTGCAATGTTACATTTATCGTCTTATGGAGCACTACTTGGGTAAACTCGAACACCTACCGAGTAATGACTTCCCAGTCTTTCAAACTCATCCAGAGCGTTCTTTTCAGCTCCACCTCATTCTTCGTCTCCTCCAACTCCCCCATTTTAGTTGGTACACCAGGGATCGCAGCCTTTCCCGGCTCCGCGGCCGCCGCAGCACCCTTCTTCATAGCTGCCACACTTCCGCCATCTTTGAAAAGCTCACCCCATGTTTCATACCGTCCTTTTGTAGCATCAACCTTCTCCAACTGTCCTCGTAAGTCCTCCAGGAATTTGATAACCATGTCACTCTTGGCACCCGGATTGAGCACCATTGGGTCTTGTGCGCGATTGCGAATCTCTGAAACTTCCGTCATGAGGTCTCCCATTGATTTATCAAGTTCCGCCGAGAATTTGTTGATGTTCTCTTCTTTCGTGTCCGACGCCATATCGACGGCTTCTTTCAATTGGCGAAGGGTTGGTCCCAAGGTTTGGTACAATGCCAGGTCTGTCGGCTGAATTGCAATCTTGTACTGATCCATCAAGTTGTAGAGGCGTGTGACCTCATCGTAAAGTTGCTCCACAAGGGGCATCGAGTCCTTAACTATAGCGGAAATGTCCAAGTGATGAGTGTCATTATTTAGATTGATGTGAGCAATCTCTTATAGTACCTTTCTCAAGCCACTCCAAGTATTCGACAAAGCCTTCAACGTTTCCAGGCTGGGTATTGAGAATTCTAACCCATGTCTGAACTTCATTCAACAGCAACTCATTCTTATCCCTCGCAAGACCAGGTAAGATCTTGGCAACTTCCGCAAAACATCTTTCTGGACTCGGGACAAGAATGCTTTTGAGTTTCGTAGTGTCAATAAGCAGGTTGTTGATCACGGAGGTGGTTGGAATTGCCGCCATCGTTTGACGCTGAGAGGAGAATTTGGCGAGGTGATGCTCGAAAAAGTCAACGACTGGAGAGAAGGTTGTACCGTCCGGGCGAGTAATAATTGTAGATCCTAGTTCGAGGATACTCGATTGCTTTTCTGTCTGCGTGCCCTCGCTCTCCTCTTGGTCTCCGTTCGACGGCTCGACAGTATTCGCTAAGGAGGCCATTAACACGGCCGCAACCCCTCCCTCAACAGGTTGATTCCCGGCAGTAGCCAGCACAACGGCTACATGACCCGCAGCTGCCTCCAAGGCCCTTAACCCCTCAAACTCTTCGTTCTCAACCCACATTCCACGAACCTCCTCCCAAGTCTTCATCCACTTTGCCGCATTAGAGAAGATACCCACAAGCACACCGCGAATACGGCCACATACTTCCCTAAAGTACGCACCCTCTGTTATGATTGCGGTAATTTGAGGACCTTCGCCGTACTCTGCCTCTTCCAAGCCTCGAACAGACGAGTAAGCTCCGCCAGAAACGCTGGCAGGGTCCAGATAAGATATCGTATTTGTGAGAAGAGAGACTTTCTCGACAGTATTGAGATATAGTTTGAAGAGGATGTCAATTGCTGCAAGATAGTCTGGGAGGGAGGGTGCAAAGTAGAGATTCCGCACAGCGGCAGCAAGCTGTAAGAGAAGCTCAGTACGGAAGAGCGGAACGAAGGCGGCCTTCTCCTTTTCCTTTCCATGATTGGAGGAGATATTGCTTGCCGCTTTCGTATCTCCGACTTTTTTTCCAGCTCCATCGGCAGGAACCAGTCGATCGTCTACGTCCATCATGTTCGTGCCTCCAGCCATGAGCCCTTGTTCTTCAATAACTTCAATCAACTCCAACTTTGGCATTGCAGCCTTAATAATCCGACTCAAAATGCCAAAGAAGCCGTCGAACCCAGCATCGGCAAGTTCCGTTGTTCCGACCTCCTCGCCTACAACAACACCGCCAACCTGGACACCACCATTGGGAGCCATACCAAACGCATCTGCACCGCTGACAGAGCCAGTTCGTTCCAAGCCAGGTCGAGCACGACCATTGTCTTCATTCTGCAGTAATTCTGACAAGCGCCCTTCGCCAAGCATTCCAGGGTCAGAGATCACAATGGATCCGCTGCCGGAAGAGTCTACGAACACATCTTCATCCATGCATCCACGGAGGACGAACCGTAAAAGATCACGTACACTTTCAATGGTCAAGATATGAAGGGTTGTGACGATCATGTAATCGGCGAGCTTGACAAAACGTTGAAGACGACGACATTCCGTGCGTCGAGCAGCTTGCTCCGTGTAAGTCAATTTTCGAGGTTCAATTTCCTCCACGGCTTTCTTTAGAGCACTTGTGGGCCGACTGCCACTCGATAAAGGCGCCAACTCATCAGGTTTATCTCCAGATTCTCCCTGGTGATTTTCTGCCCATTCCACTTCAAAGCCCTTTTCCCGCAAACACGCCACTCCAGCCTGCTCTACCAGTCGGCGTACGGTAGTCTCCCATTCTTTTAAAGAGCCCGCACTTTCCTCAACCCAAGCCTTCTGCTCCTTCACAAAGTCCGCTAGCTCGTAGCTGTGCTGCTCTTGTAACTTAACTAATCGCTTGTTGGTGAGCACATCAACGCATCTGACGCGAATTTCCAAAAGGGTTGATCGAAGAATCGGGTGAACTAGGAACAGGTTCTTGGCCAGTTGTCGACGGTTTTGCGTGATTTTCGTATGAAGCACTGTTCTGCGCCAGAGGCTGAAGCACTTCCACAAGCGATATCTTGCAAAAAAGGGGATGCGCAATAAATTATGAAACAGCTTATATTCTCGGAGCCACTGATTTAGAGGTGTAAAATCACCGTGGCCTTGATGATCAAAGTGCGTTACTCCCTGATATTGTTCCAACCATTGTCAGACGTGCAACGAAAATGAGGCGGAGATGTATGATAACAAGGCTTACCGCTGCACTGATAGTATAGTATCCTCCGTCTTTATCCACATCGGCGTAGTCTACAATCTCAAGATTATAGGGGTTGAAAGTCGGCTGTCCCCGCTTTACCGACAGTTTTACAGCGTTCAAATACACAAACTCTTTCGAGGTAGGACACGATTCTAAATGACGGATAAAGGCAAATAGGTCCTTTGTCGCTCGCTTTGTCACCACACCCTCGTCTATCTGCTGTAGAACGGGTTTCGACGCTGGGTATTCCACTCTGTCCATTTCAACTTGTTCTCGCCTGCCGGGTTCGGATATGCGAATCCGTTTGACATCGGGCTGGTCTCTTGAACTGGTACCGATGGGAGGAATAACTGGAGGTGTGAGTGCGCGAAATGCTAATGGCGGCCTACTGAGTGGCTCTTCAGTCGCTTTGTGAGGCATGTGGATATCGTTCACACCTTTGAGCTCAGAGGCCATCTGTAACGCCCGTTTGCCGGATTGGGATCGCGCGGAGCTAGCGGGTATGACGAGTGGCTTTTTGGCTCTTAGTACGGATCTTTCGGATCTTTCCCGTGGGCGGGACTGTAGAAATACAAGATCTCATTGAATGATTTGGTCCTGAACCACACTTTTTTGGCAGATACTTACAGCAGCTGGTGACACGGCCTCGGCAGATCCATGGATTGAATGATTGTCCAGTGGCATCAGACGTTCCCCGCTTCCCGGTCTTTTTGGCAACGCCATGACTCTTCTGACGTCAAAGCGTGGTATTTCACCCTTGCCGGCGACAGTATGCAATCTAGCCGCCAGTGCATGGGCTCGTTCTTCCGCCCTCCTCTCTTCAACAGTTTTGTAACCATAGGGAGAACTCTTTTTTCGGAATGCAGCAGAGCTGGCGTGTCGCATGGGTGGAGATGCGGAGCGGTCGGATGAGAGGTACGACGTGAGTTGTTGTCGCGACGATTGTGAAGGGGATCGTGACATGGATACATGTCCAGCTGTTGTTGAGTTTGCAGCATCCTCTCCCTCCTTGGGAGGAAGGACCGAACCCTCCAACATGATGGGACCCCGGCGATGTGCGTAAAAGCTGCTAGAACTACGTACAGATCTTGCTGAACCAGACTCCGCAGTAACGTGTACGCGCCTCGTAAGCATGCACGTGACATCCTCCGACGAGCCTCTGGCTCGCGCTTCCCTTGAGAGATGCCCCAAGCAGGATGCATACATCTCGCTCGCTTGACTAGATTTGGTTGTTTCTTGTTCCTCGTTATGCGGTCTTTGCTCGTAGCAGCGGTCTGCCGCGTTTCTTTGCGGTCTGGAACTGGGTTCATTTCCATACCCTCAGTTCGCAGCCCAAGTCGCGCAAACGGTCCATCTATTGCCAGGACAGTAAATTTAAGCGACACTTGAAGGTGCTTCCACCAGGCCATGTGTAGACAATGCACCACATACAATGGTTGATATGAGCAGAACACATATGAGTCAAGCCGTGAGGCTTTTGTGCATGACGTAACGGAGGACCCGTTCAAAGCTTCCCAATTATAGTCTTGTTTTCATACGAACCATTTGTTGATTCTCTGAGACTCTTAACACACGACAACGACCTCTGACACTCTTAACACACGAAAACCATCAATGTGCAGTCTACAGGAGGAGGATGCTATGGAGGATGACAAACCATGCCAAAGTATCTCATCCCATCAGACTTGTCCGATGGAGATAGTTACACCGTCCGACGGTCAAGCAGTTGTACAGGTGTCAGAAACAGCTACCTTACAAGGGCTCTCGTTCGAGCTAAAGCAGAGGATATGTGAATTGATTGATCCCACTGATGCTAGAAGCCTGTCTCAAACAGCTCGAGTGTGGCGGCAAATACTGTCTCGGCGACAGTTCTGGCAAGAGAGGCAGATTCTGAGGTTCGATCGTGCAATCCTATTAAGTGCTGAGCTAGACAATAGGGTAATTGAATTGTATTGGAATTTGAGATAGATGGTTCTTACCCCGCTTGTTTTAGGTCTTGGACACCCAGTGCAAGGCCTGCGGGACGACAAAACTACTTTCAGAGTTCACTGGCAAACAAAATTGTACAAAATGCCATCCAGATGAAACCATCCCTAAAACAAACGCCAAAAAGGAATACGTATTAACCGAGAAGGATTTATCCAAACTCTATTATGTCCGGCGTAAAAATCCACGGTACAGAAGCACACGCCCAATGCATCTCTACTTGCGCTCTGACGTTGCCGCCTACGCATATGCCAAATACCACGGTCCCAAAGGCCTCGCAGCAATGCACAAGAAAATGCGCAATCTCGAAAAAGCTAGAGAAATGCATACTAAAGCCCGCATCCAAGCCCGACGGGAAAAGCTTGCAAAAGAACTTAAAGTCTACCATCTTGACCTCCGAGACGATTCAAAGACATGCAATGATTACATTCAGGGTATCAACAATGTCACACTCCCTGATGCCGTCAAAACCATGCGTCACATGCATATTGTGCACATCCACACCAACTACCACCAACTATTGGACCAAAACCTGGATGCAGCACGTAACGCAGGACAAAAGTCCCCTGGATTCGTTAAAGTGTGGGAAAAGACAAAGAAAAAGGTTGAACGTGAGGCAATGGAGGAGCTGCGGAGTGCGGAACGGGGGTATTGGGCATTACCGGCTAATAAACGGAATGCGGAGATGTGCGCGTGTGGTAAAGTGTTGTTGAAAGATTGGATGGCGGCTAAAAAGTAAGTAAACACAATTTGCCTTGGATGTTAGAATACGGTGATTGAACTATTGTTTAAGGACACCCGCCTTGAATGATACAAAAAGTTGAATCAGTCTGGTGAACATAATTGCAAGGAAATATCCGTTTTGCGAGTGTGTTAATGAAGATATAAGAAAGGTCACCCTTGCAGGCAAACGCTCGATCAGTTCTATGGTTTGCGGTACTATCCGCGTCGGAATGAAAGACTTTTCCAATCCGCTCGAGCTGCGCGACGTTGTGCATGTACCCAGTTTGTGACACGACCTGCTCTCCGTTTCAAAATGTAATGCTCACGGCGTCGATGTTCTTTTCAAGCATACCGGTGAAGTAGTTTTCACGCACGACGGCCAAGACATCGCTAAAGGTGTACGCCGCGGCAAAGCCTTGGGTTGGACGCGGAAGCCTGCACTGTAGAAGTCTCTACCGAAATTGCCCATGCTAGACTAGGACACTGCGGTAAACATGTATTGCCAAAGATGGCAGACGCTACGGACGGTTGGTCCGTAGTGGGTGATTTTAATACAATCAAAGATTGCGAACCCTGCTGGTTGGCCAAAGCAGCCAGACTTCCTTTCCTTTCTGGTAATGACGAACCAAGGGAACTTTGTGACCTCGTACATTCCGATTTGCAAGGCCCATTTCAGATTCCCGGCTACGACGGGTCGCGTTATTCTCTGGAGTTCATCGAACACAAATCCAGAGTGGCAGCAGTCTATCCCATTGCAACCAAGGACTTGAAAACCATCCTGGCGAAGTTTATTGAATATAAAGCATGGATAGAAAAGCTTACCAGTCGATCCATCAAGATTTTGCATACCGACCGGGGCACTGAATACCTCGGCGCTGTTAAGAAATATCTGGTTGAACATGGAATCCAGCACCAGACATATGCAGCCTATTCTAGTCAGCAAAACGGCAGCACCGAACGCTGGCATCGTACAGCACTCGATCGTGTACGAGCAATCTTCGCTGAAACCAAGCTTCCACAAGATTTTGGCCTGTGCTGCTACAAATGGCAGTATATCTCCACTCTCTCAGTTGGACCCGCCTAACCGGCAAGACGCCCCACGAGGTACTAACTGGCAAGCGTCCTGACGTTGCCCACCTGCTGCGTATCGGATGCGTGGCTTATATGGTCATCCTTTTGAAAAGAAGAGATAAAATGGGGAACAGAGCACGGAATTGTTACCTACTCGGCTATGGACACCCTACGGGCACCAAGCCTTATCTTTCGTGGGACCCCGGCCATGATGAGGTGGCGATCTCCCGCGATGTGGTTCTTCAAGAGGACAAGGGCCCGGAATTGGCCCATCAACAAGATCCCGCCACACTCGATCTTCTCGACCCGGCGCATGGAGAAGACGATGACGAATATCCTATCAAGAAAATTCTACATGAATGCAACCACCGGGCGCACGGGAAACAATACTTGCTCAAGTTGGATATACAACTCCCACCTGGGAGCTGGCAGAAATCCTTCAAGACACTAGCGCTCTTGAATTCTGGGAAAACCGCACTCATGCCTACTCGACTTTTGCATACGCCACGCGATCGCGCAAACCGTCGATCCCAACGCTCTATCATGGAAACAAGCCATGGCATCTGAGAATGCGAAGCAGTACATGGAGGCAGCCGCCAAAGAGCACAAATCACTAGTCGATAGTGAGACTTGGGAACGAGTTCGACGTCCGCCGAACAAGCGCGTAGTCGGCAGCCATTAGGTATTCTGTCCGAAAGGTCAATCCAGATGGCTCATTCAGCAACTTCAAGTCCAGAGCTGTAGCCCAAGGCTTCATTCAACAATTCGGTCTCGATTACTTGGATACCTACGCACCGATTCTCGCATTTCCCGCGCTGCGTTTATTCCTCGCATATTCTGTTCAAAAACGGATGGACATTCACACTATGGATGCTGAAACCGCTTTCCTGAATAGTCCCATGGACAAAAAAGTCTACATCGAGCAATTTGAGGGCTATGAGGCCGCCGGCCACCCGCGTAGTGAATGGGTGCTGCGTTTAAGAAAAGCTCTTTCAGTTTAAAGCAATTCCCCCTGTTGTCGTACAACACACTCAAGAAAGCTCTACTTAGACCTATGGTACACTCCGATGTCGGTCTGTGCCTGCGTGTTCTATAAGTATGCCCCTACGGAGCGTACCAATCCAGGCGCATCAAAGACCCCTAACACGCTGATTATCCTTATGGTATTCATCTGTTGAGTGTGTATGCTCCAATGTTATGCAGTGGTTGTTAGACAAATGGCAAGCAACTTGCAAAGAAGGGTACCAGTGGCAAGGGTTGTGGTGACCACAGTGGCAAACGAGTGTTGTGATTGGAGCAATCACAGTATTCTCACACGTGTGTCGCTTCGGTCACAGGTGTGGATTAGGATTTTTTTTAGGGTTAGGGTTAGCTGAGTATACAATAGAGAAGGCAAGCGTTTTAATGATCAACAATAACAGTTGCTCAGTTCTGGTCATTCACGTAGTCACCGTTTTTCATGTGTATTCAACCACTGCAGACAACCCAGTTGTGAGGGTAGGAAGCACAACAGTTGCTGGAAATCACAACAACAAGGAGTCAGACCTTTGTGAGGAGGTAAAGTTCCTGCAGAAAAGAAGGTTCAGCCAAAGTGCATGATGATTGCAGAGTGAGAAAGTGGCCTACTGAGAGAATTATGCTCTATGGGCAGAACAGAAGTATGCCAAGCACCGGACCACAGAGGTGTGGCGGCACTATCACTTGGTGAAGGATGCTCAGAAGGACCTAGGTGTGGACACTGGGCAGCATGCATGGTTAAGAACCGATGATTTGGGAGTGGGTCCGAGATGCCTATGAGACCTGAAGGTTGAGGGAGCTGGCACTAGGGGGTAGGGAAAGTCCTACCAAGAGCATGAGAAGTGTTGGGTAAGGTTGAGTTTTAGGGCTTGCTCCTGCAACTAGACTTGGTGCACCTGAGAGGTGGATAGCTCTGTTAGAAGCTATGCTGTCACTGCGGAACATCTCTAAGTGTCAACAGAATAGTGAAATAGTTGTATTGTAGAAAAATGCGGGTGCTAAGTATAGGACAGATCACATGATGACTTCCTGACTTTCAACCTCTACTTTTGAGCGTGTAAGACAATTAACTAAGAAACCGTTTTAACATTCTTGTAGCCACGATTCAGGGCTTTCTAGAACCGTTTTGATCTTGTCGATAACTTAATAACTCGCAGAGTTATTCAAGTTTCCGTCCTTTGTCATTTCCGATGAAAGCAGGCACCCACGCGGGCGCGTCATGGGTACCCACCCACACATGGGGATTACATGGGCATCCGTACCCCAACCCACCGTTTGGGCACCCGCGGGAGATGACAGATGTTGTTTGCTTGCAGGGTGATTGAGCGCATCTGGAGCTGCCAAAAAGTTCCATGAGACGTTTGGTGGGCCTCCACACACCCCTCACGGGCCTCCGGCGGACATTCGTGTCATTTCTGAGAGTAAATAATTGAAATCATACTTTGGAATGGGTCCAACAAAAGTAAACCCCTCTTTAATGCCATTGGTTCCCACAAGGCCCTGCCTGCTTTTCTATCACCACTCGACAATGCAAGTACTTGACAAAATTAACACTGAACATCAATCTGATTAATGCATGATGCGCTGCAAACATAATTGTAAGCGCATCTCATCTCCAAAAGGGAATTCTAATTCTTCCAGCTCAATAATATCTACTTGAGCATCGGGGACCTCAAGCCGGGGACTTGTGTGTGTTCCTGCGGATATTGGTCGGGTCATCCGCTAAAGCTGTTGTAAAAACAAGAAACCATTTGAGTATTTAAAAGAAAATTTACTCTCCGCGCTCTTTCCAAACACCCTTGGTAAAAGGTACAAGTTTTTACCTCCTTCCCGCGTTTCTTGACTAGGAGGATCGCTCGACTGTCCGGGACGCTTAACTTTCATAATCTCCTCCACCGTAACGCCAAGCTCGGTAATGGACCAAATCTCGATCGCGCAGGTGATGCCCCGGATGTACGAGTCCAGCGCGCCATAGGTGGTGAGTACGCTCACCAGCTTGAAAGCGGATTCGGCGAGCTTCACCACAACACACATGATTATAATAGCGATTTGAGTATGGCTTGCTTGGAGGTTGACACCCTTTGTCAACGTTTTTTGCGAGTCTCGAATCTTGACGATGAGCCAGATGTCCACCACGAGGACCATGACGAGGTAGAGGAACAATCCGGCCATCGCGGAGGATTTACCGATACTGTTGAAGTAGTAACTTTGGATAAAAGTCGCAACGTTTTCCATGTTGCATTTCGCCATTGCAATGTACGTCATCAGGTGGTCGATAAAGTAAAGCGCAACTATGAGGAATGCCCACGATCTAATCCCCCACGTTGCCCGCCGGTTGCGTGGGTAAATGAGTGATTCGAATCGGATCACGGAAAAGTAAGTCAAAAAGTACTGCTGAAAGTCGCTACAATTGTTGGCCAGGAAGGATGCAATTGTTGCTGGTTTACCGTACCGATCGTTAAGGATCTCGTGGGCAATGATAAACATGAGAATGTTGGCGACGGCGGAGAGGAGGATGGAATAGAGCTGAAGTATGACGTTCCTGTTTTTTGGGTGTTTTCGTGACCAGTTTATGAGGGCTGAGGAGGTGATTCCGAGAGCGAACCCCGTGAATAAGATCCCGACTTGACGTTGTTCTCGAAGCGTGATCATTCTGCGTGGTGGATTCGTTACTAATGTTTACAAGATAAGTTCTTGGTTGAACTAGAAGGTCAGAAGAGGTGGTGGCAACAAACCCGGCAACCGAGGGAATCAATTCGCTGGTATTTTGGTAAACGTATGGAATAAGGAAGAGTAGGATAGGACTGCTAAATTTCAGGCTGATCTTTCAAGTTACTTTTGATAGGTATGAATAAGTTATGACATAACCGATTTCTCAGGCAGGTTTGACAGAACTGGCGGGACGAAATATGAAGCTTTTATGAACGTTATGTGCATTAACCGCAGTCTAATTTGCGTCAAAGTGTGGGGCATGTTTTTCTGGGGTCATGATTGAAGATAAGGAAATTCCATTGTTTAGACACCAGGAACAATGGACAGCCAGCAGCACCACGCGCACCATTGTCTCTTTATAGATGCTACCATACTATGAATATCTATATACCACGCAACCAAACATTATACCTTAGGGTTAAGTTTAGGTATGAGCATGGGACACAGGAAGAGCTTACGAGATGACATATACACTGCTTACATAGAAGAAACTGACACTAGCTAACTACACCAGGGAAGAAACCGGCGACAACCGGTTCGGAAAAGCTAATTTAAGCTTGGACGTTGATCCGGAACTCTTGATGGGATTGAAGCCAGAGTCTTCGCAAGAGAGTTAACATCAGTGAGACTCGCAAGCCGGAGGATTTTTGTGAACAAAGGCTTGGAGACTAAAACTGCATGTCAGCCAGATGACAGAATGGAACAGATATGATGCCTGTTGAAATTCATTAATTTCATCGAGATTGTCATGGGACGGTAACTTGCATAACTAGGCGAGTTGTTAACTTATCAACAAGACCAAAACGGTTCTAGAAAGCCCTGAATCCGCGCTACAAGCTTGCAAAACTTATTCTTAGTTAGTTGTCTTATGTGCCCAAAATTAGAGGTCAAAGTCAGGTTGCCACCCTGTGATCTCTCTTGACACACAAGGTGCCCAGAGCCATTCTCCAGCATAGCTTCTAACAGAGCTATCGACCTCTCAAGTGCAACAAGTCTAGTTGCAGGCAAACACCAATAACTTGACTTTACCCAACAATGCCATCAGTACATACCAATCAAGCACCGTTCATGCAGTAGCATAATAGTACCTTTAATAGCAAATCTTTGTGGTAGCAACCAATTCCTATTGCTATTGCAGTTGGGTGGACGTGGCTGTCATACTCTTGTGTGTGTGTGTGTTCCTGACGTGGTTCAGTACCAGCACATATCAAGTAGGGTTCCCTATGGGAATATGGTTTGTTCAGCTAGATGAAGTCTACCACTGTATAATCACTGTATGTATGACCCCTGTCTCAGAGCATCAAGACTCTTATATGATGCACTGAGACAGACGGAAACGGCTCCTGGTTGAAACGTCTTCACCAACAACGTCTTGTGTAGGACCGTCTTTCATTTTGAAGCCTCCTGGCAACTTGAGCCCCAGTGCCTGCCTGACATCTGCGGCCTTGGTGGTCAAAAGGTCGGGGTTACGTTGCATTTCGTAGTAAAGAGCAAGGGCAAGGCTGATGGTTCCAACAGCCATCATGGCGGTGGAACTCCCGGTGTTACGGTTAGGTTAGGCTATGTATCTACTGATGCGGGTGAATATCAATGAATAGGGCTGGGCAAATGCAGGGAATATTGGAGTTACAGAGAGGAGCGGGATTATATCTCATTGTGCATAAAATACCAAGTGGAATGTTTAAACATGCAAAAAGGAAACATAACAAAACAAGACTATTAAAACTCCAGAAAAAAAAAAGACAATTCACAAGCTAAATCCAAAAAGAAGCATAATAAAACTCAAAACACATAGGAAAACAATAAAAGCTAATCAACATTATATAAAGGAAAAAAATCAATACCACCCTGCGGAAATCTACAAAAAGACTATTTGACTTTAAACTCTCCGCTCATCTTTCTCCAGACCCGTTTCACCAAGCTCGAAGTCCGCTTCTTTTCTACAGGAGAAAGTTTATCTAGAGCCAAAGCCTCCGTAAACGTGATGGGTTCGTCCCGTTGTTTTGTTACAAGTTGGGCGGGGGTGTCAACGACGCTCGGGGGAGGGGTGGACGGGGGGGTTGGTTCCATTTTAGGCGGAGTGGTAGTGGTAGAGTCCGTGGAGCTTGGGCGGTCGCGGCGTCCCGAGGCGATGAGGACGGGTGGGGTGTCTAGAGAGGGACGGGAGCGGGGGCGGCGTCCAGAGGCAATGAGGATGGGTGTGTCGGCTTTGGGAGTTTCAGAGGAGGCTGATGGGTCGTTGGGCTCGCCTTCCGCTTCTTCGATGGGAGGTAACGGGGCGGCAGCTGGGACATGGACAGCGTCTTGCACTTGCTCGGCGGAAGGTGCTGCCCCTTGAACGGGTTCCGAGTCTGCAGATCCAGCCGCGTTTGCAACGGCCAGATCAGCCAATTTCCGGAGTTGTTCCAATCGAGCCGTGAGCATGGCTGCATTGGTTTCGTCCTCGGACTCTGTGTCGTCTTCGTCCTCATCGTCCGGCTGTCGTTCTTGTTGAGCATGACCGTTGAGATCAATGACGGATGCGGTTGGTCCACTGTTGCCGTGTGGTAAGGGAGCTTGCCGAGCATCCACCATGTCATCCTCGATATCCTCTTCAGTATCGTCATCCTCGTCATGGTCGTCGTCGTTGTGTTGTTCAGTCACATACATGTAACCGTCCTTTTCATCCGTAGCGCCATGATTGGTCAGTCGCCTTCCAGCTTTCACAACTGCCAAGATATCTTCAAGAGAGAAATTTAAGCCTGGGCCCGAGTCACCACGGGCACGAACTACTTGCTCCTGCTTAGCGAGTTCCTTGAGCCACTCTGCTTCCCTCCAGTCCAAATGGTTACCGTCTGACGGGCCAAGACCCCACTGTGCGGCACTTTCGCGTATGACCTCGCGTTTGAGAACGAGTTCGTCCCATCGCACTGTTTTGGAAGTACGAGACGGGACCGAGTTGCAGTCGGTTGCGCCATCCGAAATGGCAGCCACTTTTTCCAGAGCGTCTGTGAGTGTTGCTACCAATGTACGAACCTGCTCTCCAGCGGCCCAGAGAGCGGCATGGAGCGAAGCACGCTCATCTTGCCATTGACGTTCGCGGGTGGCAAGGGCTGAGAGGAGAACCGACGTGGCGCCAGGGGGAGGTTGTGTCAAAGGTGGAGATGACGAGGACGAGTGTTCACTCGTGCTGCTATTATCGGCTGTCGCCGCGTTGGACTGCACGAGGGCAGTGTTCAAGTCACCACCAGCAGCATTAGCACGAGACGTTACGGCCTGCACCGGCGAGCCATTTCCTTCAAAAGGCACCTCGCCTCCATGCCGGCGCAACAATAACCGAAAGGAATCCCAGTCGCGGAGATCCGAGAGGAATGCGGGAAGTACATTGGGGTGACGAACGAGCTTTTCCGCTAGTGGATCCACCAAGTCGATTTGATCCTCTCCTGAGTCATCATCCCCGTCCTCGCTAGAACCCAGCTTGCCTCTTGTAGTTGGTACAGGTGTCGTTGGCGAGCTCGGACCATCCGCCAATACTGTTTTGGCAAACTCTGCAAACCGCAAGCCACCCGGAGCCCCTTCCTCCCAAAACGCCCGCAAAACCCTCAGGGCATCCCTCGTCTTGCGCTGTGCCTCTGCAATGGAGACGGCGTCTTCGGCAATGGACCACTCGACTCGCCGGTCACCGTCGTACCCCGGCAAAGACCCCGGCCGATGTGGTGTTATCGTTATTCGCAAATAGGTTGCCGGCATAGTCAAACAAGTACTCGTGCTGTTGGTGGTAATGAAGGCGCAAATGTGTGTGTGTGCGTAGCGTCAGTTATTACAGTGTTCAGCGCTGGCAAATCGTCTCTGCGTCGTTCACAGTTCCCAATGGAAATGGTTTCTACAAATTTCACCCAAATGGCCAGATGGAAGAAATGCCCAAACCAAATTCCGTCTTCCGTCCCGCCCTTCCCCCTTCCTTCACACCTTTCTTTTCACACAAAAGGGGCTACTAAGCAGTCCGAAACCACGTGATACGGACATTGGGGCTTTTTCATTTTGGGGCTTTTTTTATCTGAATTTTGGCCAAGAATGAGCGACAATGAGGATGAACTGGACTGGAGGGCGTTGGTAGAGTATGCAGGGATCGAGGACGTGCCTAGAGGGCAGCAAGATGCATTCATACGGAGCGCTCGCGCCGAGATTCAAACCCAATTGCGGTCGGCGTTGGATCAGTTGCGCTCAGCGTTTCCCGTCGAGTTTGGCTCCATCAAAGCCGTACGAGACCCGGACGACATGTCAGAGGTCTTTTCGGAATTGCTGGACTTGATACCAGAGGACAAGAGACCCCTTGTCCGCATTCCGGCAGGGATTTCAGAGTTTCTTTTACTGACGCACGACACGGAGGCGTCTCCGGACGCGGATTTTGGTTTGCCCGTGGTGGGTGGTGATATTCACCCGACCGAATCAAGTCTTGTGAGGATTGAGATGGACTATGATGAGGAACTGGATGTTATCGGACAGGAGATGGGGTTCTGGGTGTGCCTGGTCAATGGATCGAAAAAGTCAAAGGTGGCATTTGGAAATGTTTACTATGGGGATTTGGAAGGCAAGGAAGCGGTTGCACCCGTGTCAGAGTCGTTTGAAGCCTTTTTCGTGCAGTGGAGTGAATTCATGTGCCAAGCATTTGCGGATGCAAACAGCCAAGAGGAAAAGAAGGAGGCTTTACAAAATTTTTACACGCAATTTGAACAGTGATGTTGTTTGAACAGTGATGTTGCACTGCACTGAATATACAATGTCGTCCACTCTCTGCAGCGCACTGAAAGGCAGAGTGTATCTGGCATGTCTCATTAGTAAAAGGGATGATTTGTATTCAGACACATCATGCAGACCTGCTACGATGACGATGACGACGACTCTAGTTCACTCTTGACTCGATCGATTTTTTCCTGAATGGACGAATCCTTGTCGATGCGGGTTCCGATGCGAACAGTCGTGTGGATGCGAGGGACGGCGTGGCGAGTGTGAAGGGAGGTATGGCAGGATTTAATGGCCTCCATGACATGGTCCCACTCTCCCTCTGTAAGATCCGGAAAGTACATGATGAATCCAATGCGAAAAAAGATGATATGCCAATTCATGCTCTGACACTCATGCATCCATTTGTCGCATGTCATGTTCCCTACCAATGTTTGTGCCACACGAGTGCATGAGGTACTTGATGTGGGGAGAGGCCTGGAGGGTCTGCTGGACAATGGCCACATACTTTGTCAGCTGGGAGCGAATTTCGTGTGAGTGAGGTGTTGCCAGTTGAGTGCATAGCAAGATGGACATACAGATGTGCCCACACCCAATGGAATGAGACAAAAGTCTGCAACAACTTTCATGATGACAACGATGCCAACGATGACAACGACGACGGTGACGACGACAAGTGCAAGGAAAACGACGAGGGCAACGAACGCGAGCAAAGCGTTGAATGACACGTATCATCTGATATCACGTGCTATGGCAGGTGGCACAGCATGCGCGTTTCACAAGAACAGAGTTTCATTCCAATCGTTGCTGTGCCGCTGTCACGCATATGGGCGGAAGCTCCGCCATCCAGTTGTCCTTTGGACGGCATGACCCTCTAGATTACTTCCACTCCATAGGCATGTCACTAGAACTAGGAAGAGACACGTTCCTAGGCATACGACACGAGTCCATAGCGCTTCCTTGTGAAGGTTTTAGCAACACTGGAGGAGGGAAGAGTCGTTGTATACCGTCTCAACAATCTGGCATCACCTTTTGTCGCTCGCCTCGCTGTCTGTTCATCGCATGCACTCGATCCCCCACACACTCTCTGCACCGCTTCCATCCTGTGCACGTATATTCTCTGGGCGCACATGCCATGTCCTGCTTGCATCGCCTCATGCGGACGGAGGATAAACCATTTCCCCTCCGTTTCAAACCACACAAATGACACAAATGACTGAACTTTGATTTTGCTTGGTTCAATGGGAACACAAATTCGCTATCGCTTACATTCCAATGCATCTTATTCACAATGGAATGAGGATACGAACAAAAAAGGAGGGAAATTCTCACACTGAACTTTTCACCTCTTTTTCATTGTTGCCGTCGTCCATCGCCCATCGCCCACCGTTGTCGTTGCCGTCGTCATTGGAATCATTAGTCTTATCGCTTTTGTGGACTCTGGAGCGGATGCAGATAGAGGCTCTTTGAGTCCATCATGAAGTCATTCGTCGTTTCAATCCTCCTCCTCCTCTTGTCGTGCCCATGGTTATGCACCGCTGCCAACAAAGAGGAGGAAAAGGCGACGGCCCTCTTGAAACTCTCCCACGAGATACACGGGAGAATAGGGGTGCCCATGCTGTACGCACGTCAGGCTCCCTCTGGAACCAGTAACCCTGCGACAGTCCCACCTTCCACTCAGCAATCCCCCACTCCATCCTCCTCCCCGACGCCGTCCCAACAGTCTCCTTCACCCGACCCGCCAATCACCACGTCAGACGCTCCGGCACCGTCTCGCACAGTCTCCCCGCCTCCCATCACCAATGCCCCGCCTTCAGAGACCGTCGTCATTACTCGAACAGGCGATAATGGCGCTCCAACCGTTATTGTCACCGTGACAAATAGGCCTAGTGGGCAGGGAAACGTAAACACACGTAATCCAAAGGCAACGACCTCAGGCGTCCCCGCTCCTGATAGCGAGGCAGGAGACACGACAAAAAAGAGCAGCAGCACGTCCGTCATTATTGGTTTGTCGGTCGGTGGGGCTGCCATTGTCATTGCCGGTGTTGGCATTTTTGTCTTTCGCAAATTGGGGCTTAAACCCTCGAAACGCTTTCGCGGTCGTCTGGCGGATCTGGACGCACCCGGGGTCAGCCCCACACCTACCCAACCTTCGTCCCCTTCCACCAGTCCCGTGCCCGGCCCCCAGGACCGCGACAAACGCTTTCTTCACGACACGATTCACGTTTCCCAATCGCCCAGTGTCACGCCCTTTGGCGCCCCTGTCTCGGCCCAGCCACAGGAAGCCTATGTACCCTATGAATATGCTTATGCTCCGCCTTATGCAACCGCAGCCGCTCATTCTACGGCTGGGTACGATGCCTATGCGCCTGGTCACGGGCCGTACGCTGCATATCAGGGCTATGACACGTCATCGCAGCCGAGATATTAAATGCCGAGATAGAGAGGAGCCGAGAGATTTGGAAATGCCGCCAGAAAAATGGACACTTTTTATTAACAACGTTGATTGCATAGAGTTTGTATCTGATCCTTTTTTTGTGACATGTAGTATCGTTTCTGTGTGTATGTGTGTGTGTGTTGCGCGTGTGTATTTGGAGCTGGATAGTTTTACTGATAATATACTGTCATTTTTGCACACTACTTACTTTTTGATCCTGATTATACAATGTCTGATCGTAAACTATCTACGCATTGTCACATTTCACTTTTAAGCTCACTTGTTCCAAAATGGAATCTAGGATCATTACCCTGGCGGACGCCATGTAAGGGTAAACCCATAAATAAAGGGGATCTTCGTGCCTCCCATGAGGGTGTTTTGTTTCCCATTAATCCGTCGCATATTCTTAGTACTATGTCCAGCCAATTTTGTGCATCAAATCTTTGGAACGCATTGAACATAGTGTGGAGGTGATTGAAAATGGCACTAGGACCCATTATTATCCGGATTAATCCTGTTGGTCATATCACATAATCAGCACCCCCTCTATCACTCAGATTGGTGTGGCATGCATGTAATGTTTTTTTTTTAAACTGCGGTGAGGCACATGCCAAAGGTCTATAAAAGGGGGGCCTTTTGCTGTCTCTCCCCTTCCTCACCAGTTCCTCGACTCTCAAACCATCTGCGCAACTCTCATCACGACCCACATGGCAAGTCTCATCGCAACTCGGTCCAATCATGAGAATGCAGATGTGGTGGTGTCGAGGACCTCGCCCACCTGACTACAACCAACTGGAACCAGCAGCAACCACTCGGAACCAACAAAGCTGCTATTATACTGCCACATATGTTGAGCTTGGTTGGTATGTACCAATGGCATCATCTCTTTTCATTCTGCCATTCTGTCTGACATGCAGCTTTAGTCTCCAAGCCTTGTCACTGAAAATCCCCCAGCTTGTGACGCTGCCCAGTCGATTCGCTCCTGGATGCAAGAGTCTGGCTTCAATGCCATCAAGAGTTTATTCCCTGGTGTAGTAGCTAGTCCCAGTTTCTGTCATCTCTACACTATTCTACACAAGTCTGAGTCGAGTCGCGCCTGGAATGGTCTTTTTCAATGAGCATCTTGGTCAGAATGTGATGGGAAAGAACTCTGCGCGTTGGGTTGGTAAAAATGTCTGACGACGCTCTTCATTCTGCGCAAAAGTGGATGGTAAACATGTTTTACTCGTTCTTGTGACAGCGGCAGGTGTCGCTATTCACACCAATAGCTGAACGATTGTGGTTGTGGGGGCTGGCCTTTATACCAATGTAGTTTTCGGTCGTCGGGATTGTTCAGAGTTCCTTGTTTTTTCATTGCTAATTTCCCCTGTGCCTCGAGGTGAGCTGGACAGGAAGTTCAGTTGCTGGAGGTCTTTACGTGGCAGCTTTCTAAGAAGATGTCTGAAGCCCGTGACATTGAGTGGCACAGACTAATGATCGGCACAGCTTTCTTATCTAGCGGCACAGCGACTCTTTTAATGTGACTGTAAAAACTATCCCCTCGTGCCGGACAAACTTCAACATTATTTGAAAAGGTCGCCCATAGGAAACGATCCATTGCTGATCGCATCCACGCATCCGCTTTTTTTTTTTTTTCACAGCGTTCATCGGCGACGGGCCTGTCGTGCAGGCAAAAATAAAACTGTGTGGACAGGGTCAAATAGGAACGAACGCCGAGTTTTTTCGACGCCTACGGTGCATTTTGCCAGTCATCACCCCCTTCAACCGTACACTCCCGGACCTCACAGACTTTTGCTACGACACCACCTTTGACTGCGCTACTTGCTGACACTATGGAGGGAATTTTGGACTTTGGGACGGACCTGGATATTGGTCTGTTTGACCGCGTGGTAAACACAATGTTCCTCGGTGGACCAGAGGTACGAAAACTAGAGATCCGGGCGAACGAGCATGCCTCGACGCACCCATAGGTTGATATTGTGCTCAACCTTTCTTTTTCTTCTGTCTACTTGCAGCAAGCTCAGGCGAACATGATTTTGGAGCAATTTCGACAACATCCTGATGCTTGGAAGCGCGTGGATGCTATCTTGGAGCGGTCGCAAGTGTTGCAAGCAAAGGTACGGCCCAACAGCCAAGGTTGCTGAATTGTTACTGTTTATCTGACGATGCTCATACATCTATAGTACCTTGCTCTACAAATATTGGAGAATCTGATCAAAACAATGTGGAAAGCGCTCCCCCAAGGAGAACGAGGAGGTAAAGATACAAAACCTGCATATCTTTCCACTTATTGACAAATGGTCCACGCGTAGGAATTCAAAACTTTGTTGTCGCGTTTATTGTAAAGAATTCAAGTACAGATGAAGCATTAGAAAAGAACAGACTTGTACTGGCAAAGCTGAACATGGTCCTCGTACAGGTAAACACGTTTTTGGGGCTTGAAGGTGTGAATTATGAGACCAATGACCTCGTTAGATCCTAAAACACGAATGGCCTCACAACTGGCCTACCTTCATTCCTGAAATTGTAAACTCGAGTAAGACGAATCTGGCCCTTTGCGAGAATACAATGAACATTCTGAAGCTATTGAGGTGGGTCTTGGCACATTATCAGGGTATTCTCGGAATCTCCATATTAACTTGCTTAGTGAGGAGATTTTCGACTTTTCGGAGGAGCAAATGACGTCGAAAAAAACCCAAAACCTAAAAAATACCATGCTGGGCGAGTGTGCAGAGATTTTCCAACTCTGTCACGTTGTGCTGGAAAAGGCCCAGAAACCCAGCTTGATCATTGCAACATTGGAGACGCTCCTACGATTCCTCAGCTGGATGAACCTTGGCTACATTTTTGACACCAATCTCATAAATATCCTTCAAAATCGGGTAAGAGCAAGGTTGATTTCCTAATCATGTTGATAGCCACGTATTTGACCAATGTACAGTTTCTCGGTGTTCCGGCATTCCGCAACGTGACTCTAAAATGCTTCACCGAGATTGCTGGATTGCAACTGGGGGCGGAGTATCAGGAAAAGTTTGTGCTCATGTATAACCACGTAATCGCTACCATACCGAGCGTGCTTCCACCAGAGACGAGTAAGATCCCCGTGTTCAGCGGATGAACAAACATCGGGCGGGTGCTCATTGGTTGAGTTTTTAGATATAGCAAAAGCGTGGGAAACGAGTTCGGATGCGGAGCAGCAATTTATTCAAAATTTGTCACTCTTTCTAACGACGTTTTTGGGGAGACATTTAAAGGTTAGTCTGTTCTGGATGAAAATGTCGCATAATCTCGACTAACGTGGGACTGTACAGTCATTGGAATTTGCGGCGGGACAACATGGGCCTACAAAAGAATATCTTTTGCTTGGACACCGATATCTTTTGCGGATTTCAGAGGTTGAGGACCGCGAGGTCTTTAAGATCTGTTTGGAATATTGGACGACCTTGGTATGCCTGCCAGCAGCTGCTATTTTAATGTGCACCCCTCACATGTTTTTTCTTGTAGATTGCGGGGCTTTTCGATGAACTGCAAGCAATGCCACATAGTGTCGACATGCCTTTGCTGAACCTCGGTGCTGTTTCTGGAATAAATCGCACATCCTTTGCCCCGAATCTGCCCTTGAGAAAGAACATTTACGCCGAGATGCTATCTCGACTTCGGGTTATTATGATCGAGCAAATGGTGAAACCTGAGGAGGTGGGTCACGCAGAAACGTCTGTCAACGATTGTTGGAACTGACAGGTATGATTTTGGTAGGTTATTGTTGTCGAGAACGATGAGGGAGAAGTTGTTCGTGAGACGCTAAAGGAGAGTGACACCATTGTGCTGTACAAGAGCATGCGAGAGGTGTTGGTGTATTTGACGCACTTGGATGTGGAGGACATGGAGCGGATCATGTCAGAAAAGCTGGCAAAACAGGCAAGTCCATCCTGTTCCTCTGTTTTCCATGATTGTACATGCGTTGTACCCTAACAGATGTAAACAGATTGATGGATCGGAATGGTCATGGACCAACTTGAACAAACTCTGTTGGTCGATCGGGTCTATTAGTGGAGCCATGAGCGAGGATGTTGAAAAAAAGTTTCTGGTGACTGTCATCAAGGAGCTTTTGGGGCTCACGGAAATGAAACGAGGCAAAGATAATAAGGCGATCGTGGCGTCTAACATTATGTATATTGTTGGCCAATATCCACGGTTCTTGAAGGCGCATTGGAAATTTTTGAAGACGGTTGTGAACAAGCTGTTTGAGTTTATGCATGAGCTTCATGAGGGTCCGTGAAATCGCGTTGGGCAAAAGCGTGTGAATGGCATGCTTACGGAGCTTCCTTTTTAGGTGTGCAAGAGATGGCTTGTGATACATTTATCAAAATCGCTCAGAAATGCAAGCGACATTTCGTGATTCAGCAGCAGCATGAGGTTGTTCCCTACATTGAAGAAATACTGGCGACCATGGACCAAATCACATCGGATTTGCCCCCACCGCAGGTGAGCCTGATAATGTGTGCTACTCCGTTATTGTCGTTGGTTATTTATTTCCTTTTAAGATGCACACATTCTACGAAGCGGTCGGGTACATGATTTCCGCTCAGCCAAGTAAACCACAACAAGAGCGGTTGATCAACAAGTTTATGGAGTCAGCTAATGCGGCGGTAGGTCAAGTCGTTTTCTGACCTCGTATGACGTGACTAACGCGATTGCATATTAGTGGGATGCCAAAATGAGCCAAGCGCGGGTCAAACCAGAAATCCTTCACGAGCCCGACACGGTCAAGCTCCTGTCACATATCATCAAAACCAATGTTGCGGCTTGCACGTCCATCGGAGGTCCCTTTTATGTGCAAATTGGCCGGAATTTTATGGATTTGTTGGGTCTTTACACGGCTGCCAGTGGAATTATTGCAGAATTGGTTGTAACACAAGGTACGGGCGAGTGTTTCTGGTGGCCTCGTTGATGGGTCCTCATGTTGTTTTCAGGGCTTATTGCTACCAAGACGCCCAAGGCACGCAGTTTGCGGACAATTAAAAAGGAGATTCTGCGGTTAATGGAAACGTACATTGGCTTGTCGGAAGAGAAGGATCTGCAGATTGTTATGCAGAACATTATACCACCGCTGCTGGAGGCCGTTTTGGGAGATTATGCGCGGAGTGTTGAGCCAGCAAAGGACGCGTTCGTCTTAACTGTCATGGCGAGCATCATCAACAAACTGGGGGTATGTTGTGTCTCACTTGGAACGTGTACAAAGTCCTCGTTCTCATGTGTTTGTAGGATTTGATGGATGACAAGATTCCTGCTGTGCTGGGTGCCGTGTTTGAGTGTACGGTGAACATGATTAGCAAAAACTTTGAAGATAATCCTGAACATCGAATTGGGTTCTTTACATTGATGCATGCGATTACACAGAGTTGCTTCAAAGGTATGGACAGAATCAAGTCAATTCGTTCCCTCTGGACATGTGCTCACTATCTTTGTTTCTAGCCGTTGTACAAATGCCGGCACCTCAATTCCGCGTCTTTTACGACAGTGTCATATGGGGTATCAAGCACACAATACCCGATATTAGCGAACTGGGCTTGTCGATCATATCGACCATGGTAACACAGTTTGGCGCGGTGGACCCAGCGCTTGCGAATCAATTCTACCAAACGTACTTTGTGAGCCTGTTACAAGATATCTTTTTCGTTTTGGTGAATCCTTTCCACAAATTTGGTATGTTGCTTGTTGTTGTTGCAAGAATGACATTGGCTGTGACTGACTATATGATAGGTTTCCGATTGCAATGCATGATCTTGCGGGACATGTTTAATGCTATTGAGACAGACCGGATCAAAGTGCCTATTTTTGACCCAACACAAATTCCTACCCCTGTTGCGACAAACAAGGCATTCCTTCAAGACTATACCACAGATCTGCTCCTAAAGTCGTTTGCACATTTGCAGAGGTTTGTCCTTTCCTGTTTGGTGTGTTTTATCTGGGATGTGTGTTGACTGTGGGGCTTTATAGAGTGCACGTACAGACATTTGTTGCTGGGCTATTTGTGACGTCACGAGATTTTGAAGTGTTTTTGCCCCATGTGCGGGACTTCTTGGTGACGCTAAAGGTATGAATTAACCGATGGAGTTACTTGGTATTTGCATTGAGCCTTATGCTGTTGTTAGGAATTTGCTGGTGCGGATAATAGTGACTTGTACTCTGAGGAACGGGAAAGGGAGGCTGCCTTGAAGAAAAAGATGGAGATGGAGAAGGCGCTGAGCATTCCTGGCATGATCAAGCCAAGTGACAGGCAAGTCTTTCTGTGTACACTTATTTGCAAGGCTTGAACTTACTTTTTGTCTTTAGAACGGATGACATGGCTGATTAGCCAGTGTGTTTTGTGTGATTTAATGTATTTGGGGACGCAATATGAGTAGATAGTACACATGACTCCACGCATTTTTAAGTGGTCGACCCTTGTATAATAGGTTTGGTGCTGCAAAAAGATATCACCATTGCATCGATGCCCGAGGGTTTTTGATGTGGGGAAAAAGCGGTTTATGTGGGGTTTGGGAACCGTTTTCATCGTTGAGGGACCGGCGGCCCATTTCTTGTACCCAACGATATGGGGATGGGTGTTGTTGATCTCACGGTTCATATCGTCTCGTGGAAGTGTTTCTAGCGTAGGTTCCCTTGCCATGTCGCTGTTGCGCGAATCACATGTATTCCTCATTCGCCTCAAACTCGGCCTTGATGAGATGTTTACCCGGTACCATGATCAGCCCCACAAACCTCCGTTCCCCTAGTCATATCACACATGAACCAAAACGACAATATACAGCAATGGAACTCATGGTCTTTACCATTCTTGAATTCTTCTGCACCAGCCAAAATGGTGTTTTGCCCTTTATCGATGCAGACAAAGTGCCCGATAAAGATCCTGCCATCAGATATCGTGATACGTGCTTTATGGTTTAGGTAGTCTCGTAGGCGTTGGATGTGGGCCGAGTCCGGCATTTGGATTGCAAAGGCAGAGCTCAGAACAAAAACAACGGCCGATCGGCGTCCTTTACGCGAGAGTCACGTGCTGTGGTGAAGGTTCGCTGGAGAAGCAAGCGAGTTGCTTTTTGCAGTTTTTTGGTGTGGGCGCAGGGAACGATTAGATTTACTGCAAGTCATGGCTCCCTCGACAAAAGAGATTTCGGTCTTCATTCGGGAGGCGGCTCCTCATTTAGATGGGGAGTTGAGGGATTATGTACGCTTCTAAACTCGACTTTTAGCATGAACAAAATGGTAACTGATTGTTTCTGGTCATTTCCAGGTCTTGGGGTATTTTGACGATCCCTCAAGCGATCGAAGCCAGGAAGGTCTTCAAGACTTTCTGGAGCCGCTCCTAAGCGAAGCAGGGAGTTCAAAAGACGAGATTGACGCGCTATGTGAAAAACTGGCTGCTCTCACACCGTCAACAAAGCAGTCGCTCGCTCATGGAGGTGTCGTAGCATTGGATGGGCCAGTCGTGATGAACCAAACTGTATCCACGACGCTGGAATTTACACGGGCGAATATTGGGGACATTCGACATGGACACTCGACGAATGGACCTAAATCATCCACGGTGGATCAGAGAAAGTTACGGGCTGCTGAGAAAAAGTTGGCAGAAAAAAAGGCGGCGAGGGGTGGGTTGTACGATCCGGATGCGATCCCAGTG